TCTGGGTAGGACTTAGGCTATGTTCACATTAGCACAGGAAACAAAGTGGGGGGTGAAGATAAGTATGGGAAACAAGCAGCGGGGGGAGAAATCTTTAATCTTCCCCCCCCATGCCCATCTTCACTCTCCCCTTCTTGCCAGGGCAGTACTTACCCAAGGGAGTTGGCTCACAGTCTCTGCATTTCCCTCTCTCAGGGAAGCGTGAGACGCAGTGATGACAGTGGCAGCTGATGGGTTCGAAGACCCCTCCCAACTTTCCAGAGTCTGTCATCCAAGGCAGCTGCCTCACCTCGCGCCTCATGGGTGGGCAGGACCCGGTGCCAACCTTAATTGTTTTGCCATCTGTTAATTTCATTTTTGTCAAACAGCTGCTGATTTTAATACCTAGCTTTCAGTGATATGTTTCTTTCCTGTATTTTTCTACTATGGCTGCTATATTTCTGCTTTGAGTTCTTGTTGTTGTAACACATGCTGTTTTAATTTGATAATGAACAACAGAATATAACATTTCAAATCAATAAATATGCAGCATGAAGGATTAAAGACTCAGTTGCATGTGAAGACCCCAAAAACCACCCCCAAATAAGTACACAATAGACACAGAATTTTAGTTTAAGGTTACGGGCAATAATTTTTGGCCACAACTTTATTGGTTATGGCATGAGAGTGGTTGCTTAGGCATGGTTCCAGACTATCTGAACCTGCACAGTGGCAGGAACAGGACTGATAACTGGGCACCACCAGAGGTCAGTAAAGGAAAGCATTCTGGGGGAGCATAAAGCTGGCTTCAGTCTCACAGCTCACCCCAGATGCTCCCAGGGACTCTGGCGTGGCCCTAGCCCCGTGACAGGGTTCGGACAAAAGCAAGGCGAGCCCCTGGATTCCTTTAACGGAATTCCCTAGCAGCAGCAATGGAGGGTCAGGCACAGCCAACCACGTCCCCTCCCCAAAACATTGACCCAAAGGCCTAACTGCCAACCTTACAAAGTTGTTACGATTTGCTACGCGGTAGGCAAAAACCAAATGGCAACAGCCAATCAGCCAAATGGCAAAATTCCTACCGGGCCCCTGCCCCAAAACAGGCGACCCCTAGACAGGCATAGGAAGGCCAAAAAAACAGCCCTAAATATAAGGAGGGAGGGTAATCCGGTGCATGTCGCAAGAAAGAGAAAGTTCCCAGCGATGTGCAGCAGCTTAAATAGCCCCTCGGCAGCCAATAAACAACCCAACCAGCCAAATTTCTGCCCTAGCAACCGAGGGGCAGAATCCAATGGGGTGATGTGGCTATTCAAATGGTCCCGCCCCAAAACAAGGAGGCAGTTCTGATGATCTCACTGCAACGCGTGCCCTCCCTGATGGAGGTCACGATTTATCAGGAATACCAGCTCGGGCTTCCTATCAGGTTACTCCATAATTACGGTAGTAAGCCCACAACTTACGTGCATTCAACTTGTGCTCATTCAGCTTTATACATGTGGCCAAAAAATAAAATAAATTCAAAAGAGGGTGGGAAGGGGCGGGGTTCTGGGGAAAATGACTTTGGCAATTCCGTGAACCCAATGGGTTTGGACTAAACATGATTTTGGTTTTAGGTGCAATTCCAGAAAGCAATCCCTGCATAACTTGTTGGCATACTACTACTGCAATGCACCCTACATGGGGCTACCTTTGAATGTGACTCAGACACTACGTCTAATCCAGAATGTGGTAACTAGATCGGGAACATCTGCTGGGACCATATAACACTGGTCCTAAGGTATCTACACTGGCTTCCAGTACGTTTACAGGCCCAATTCAAAGTATTTCTGTTGACCTTGAAAGCCCTAAAAGGCCTTGGCCCTGTAAACCTGAAGGAGCATCTCCACTCCATCGTCCAGCCCAGACACAGAGATCCAGCTCTGAGGGCCTTTGGGTGTTCCCTCAATATGAGATGTGAAACTACAGGGAACCAGGCAAAGGGCCTTCTCGGTAGTGGCGCCCTCCTTATGGAATGCCCTCCCATTAGATGTCAGGAAGATGAGTAACTACATAACCTTTAGAAGACATCTGAAGGCAGGGGAGTTTTTAACGGTTGATGTTTCACTGTGTTTTTAATATTTTGTTGGGAGCTGCCCAGTCAGATGAGCAGTATATAAATTATTATTATTATTATTATTATTATTATTATTATTATTATTATCATCTTATGCTAACATCTGCTATGCACTCTAGCAGTAAAGGTCATAAATTGAAAGCTGAAAACAATTATATACTTCTCAAAGTGTAAAAAAAGCTTTATCCCAATTCTAACGGGATTGGCATTAGAGTGAATATTGTTCTAATGTATTCACACACGCCACAACACACGAACTAAGATTAGCTGATTCCTGACATGCTGCTTATGAGCTAGGCCCAAACTCGGAGACCGTTGGGCTCAGCTCATAATGACTTGTTATTTTCCTAGCTGAAGAAATTATTTCCTTATCCTCTCACATTGCCATCTGCAGTACTAATTGTTTCTCTTTTTTAAAAAATAAATAAATATATGCAACAGTCATAAGACATAGATACGTTTCTCTGCTCTCTCTTGGTAAACTCTTGCACTCCAGCAATTTATGGCTTAATGGATTTCACTTCGCCAAATCTTTAAAGACCTTGCACAACACGATCATTTTGCTTGCTAATATGTCAGCATTTTATTGAATGACATTAAAGGAAATGTGGATGCTTTTATTGTTCTCCTTGAGGCAGCAAATACTGCATTGAAGAAGTTCGTTATTAAGTATTTTACCACTGTCCATCTGGCTTACAGTCAATTATGCTCCATTAATGTGCATATTAATGAAGATCTTGACATGCATTAGAAATCACAAACTGCAGGCTTCAATGTCACTCTTTAGCACATGATTAGTACTTTGCTGGAATAATATAGTAAACACTTTGTCATTCTATTGGCACTCAGGGCTATTCGAGATGACTTCCGTAAAATAAACGTCTTACATTTTCTTGACAAACCCAGACATAAACATATTTGACGAACACCCTTATAAGCTTTCAAGGAACCACAGTGTCCCTCAGAACACTGCTCAAAAACTCCATAGTCTTAACATTACCACAATCAATTAAACTCCTCTCTCTCTGAAAATACTTCCATTTAATAGTAACAGCCCACAAAACTTTTTCCAGGATCGTTTGCCGATGCATACCAATGCAAGGGAAGATTTTTTGGTATGGCAGCCAGCGGGAACCCAAATTTGCTCACTTTTTTATACAGTAAATTGTAATGTTTCACTACTTTGGTATTTGTTGCCCTCAACTCTTTTGAGGCAGCTTACAATTTAATAAATAAATAAATAAATAAATAAAGTTTGTTGCCAATAAGTAGCTATTTAGAAGTCTGCCGTATACACACATGTATGCATAAACTAGCAAAATGCCACTTCTTATGATGGGCGATGCAATGAAGCCTAGGTAGCAGAGCATTTTCCCGTGTGATTACATGTTGTCGCTATTGGGAAAGCTTTTCCGCATAGTGTCTGGATATTCAACTTCAGCCTTTTACTTTTCCCTATAGGAGTGCCATCACCTTGCCAACAAATTTCCGTATAGTAAAATCTATGGTTTTCCCAGTAGCGATGTATGGAAGTGAGAGCTGGACCATAAAGAAGGCTGATCGCCCAAAAATTGATGCTTTTGAATTATGGTACTGGAGGAGACTCTTGAGAGTCCCATGGACTGCAAGAAGATCAAACCTATCCATTCTTAAGGAAATCAGCCCTGAGTGCTCACTGGAAGGACAGATCCTAAGCTGAGGCTCCAATACTTTGGCCACCTCATGAGAAGAGAAGACTCCCTGGAAAAGACCCTAATGTTGGGAAAGATGGAGTGCACAAGGAGAAGGGGACGAGATGGTTGGATAGTGTTCTCGAAGCTACCAGCATGAGTTTGACCAAACTGCGGGAAGACAGGAGTGCCTGGCGTGCTCTGGTCCATGGGGTAACGAAGAGTCGGACACAACTAAACGTCTAAACAACAACAACACAGGAATGCCTGGCAGCCACTAATGTACAGTGGTACCTGGGGGTTACAGATGCTTCAGGTTACAGACACTTCAGGTTACAGACTCCGCTAACCCAGAAATAGTACCTCGGGTTAAGAACTTTGCTTCAGGATGAGAACAGAAATCGGACGACGGCGGCACAGCAGCAGAGGGAGGCTCCATTAGCTAAAGTAGTACCTCAGGTTAAGAACAGTTTCAGGTTAAGAACGGACCTCCAGAATGAATTAAGTTCTTAACCCGAGGTACCACTGTGTATGAGAGGGACCCTTGCTGGAAAACTAACAGACAGTGAGCAAAACTTTTACTTGGCCTGTGACAGTTTTAGTGTACAGCAGGGGTCAGCAAACTTTTTCAGCAGGGGGCTGGACTATATTTGTGGGGGGAGAGGAAATGAACAAATTCCTATGCCCCACAAATAACCCAGAGATGCATTTTAAATACAGTGGCACCTCTGGTTATGAACTTAATTCATTCCAGAGGTCACTTCTTAACCTGAAAGCATTCTTAACCTGAGGTACCACATCATCATCATCATCATCATCATCATCATAATAATAATAATAATAATTTTATTTATACCCCGCCCTCCCCAGCCAAGGCCGGGCTCAGGGTGGCTAACAAGCAATAATAAAAACAAGTTGAATGAATACTTTAGCAAATGGGGCCTCCCACTGCCACGGTGCCACCAGCGCAATTTCTGTCCTCATCCTGAGGTAAAGTTCTTAACCCGAGGTACCACTTCCGGGTTAGTGGAGTCTGTAACCCGCAGTGTTTGTAACCTGAGGTGTTTGTAACTTGAGGTACCACTGTAAAAGGACACATTCTACTCATGTAAAAGCACACTGATTCCTGGACCATCAAGAGGACAGGAGGCTTAAGTGAAGAAGAAGAAAGTAGAAGAAAATAATCGAAGGGAACACGAGGGTCATCTAGTCCAACCACCTGCAATGCAGGAATCTTTTGCCCAATGTGGGGCTTGAACCCACAACTCTGAGATTAAGAGATTAAGAGTCTCATGCTCTACAGACTGAGCCATCTCAAAACCAAGTGTCCCACAAAGGCAAGGCCACCACTGGATGCAACCCCTTGACTGGACCATCAAGCAAGAGGTTGTTCCTCTCTTTCCTTAAATTAAAACATGAAAAATGTGCAAATTATGAGCCTCTCCTCCAGGCTTTATTCTAAAGAGTAATTATTCCATTTTATTTTTTTAAATGATATTGTACCAGTAAGTATCTGATGCTAATGTGAATTATCTTCTTTTGATGTTAGGAAAAATGTATGAAGGATGTGAATGGAAATTGGAATAAACTTTGGTCTCAATGCCTAGAGAACACTAAGGCATTGTTCTTAAAGCATAGCTTTTAAGATCTTTAAAAAAATAGGTCAAATATGAAAAGCTATTTGATAATTATTACAAAGCTTGAAAAATATACTGTGAGACGGCATGAGAATCTATTGCATTAGCACAATTAAGATAATGCTTCATTAACATGCTCTCTCCCTCTCGCTTAGCACACACCAAAATGTAAAGGCACAAGAAATCTGATCTTGTGAATATTTGAAACTGACTGTTCTACCTAATGATCAAATGTGTTAAGTGTGCATTAGGCAAATCTGCTGCTGATTTGCATGTGCATTTCGTTTAGTTTAAAAATAGAAAGGATAATATCTCTCCAAAGAATCTGAACAGAACAATCATGAAGTAGAAATACTTCACTAGCTCATCAGAGAGAAAATCCTGGCTTCCGGTACATCTTTAAAAACTTTAACCTCCTCTGATATCTGTATTTAAATCCTTTCAATGCTCTGACTGGTCAAATGATCATCAGGGTGATTCAAAGGACAAGGCAAGATGGGGGGAGAAACCTGAACAATTAAGGGTTTTTTTCACATGTATTTTCTTCCACGCAGATCTCAAGGCATGGAAGAAGCTGTCTTTATTCCAAATGGAGCAAGATTTATCAATGTTTTTATAACTAAGGTACCCCAGATGGTTTAGCCAAGAGTCATTGAGTACCCCCAGTAAATTTCAAACTCAATTGTCCAAAAGCTTATTTAGTACAGTTTCATGTTCTCTTCACCCCTGCCCATCCTTGCCGGTGAAAGCTTCTCAGGGGACCTGACAGATGGGTTCAGGTGTGGTCTCTACATGGTGGAGTGGTGCCTGCAGCCCTTAAACCAGGCATGGCCAAACTTGGCCCTCCAGATGTTTTGGGACTACAACTCCCATCATCCCTAGCTAACAGAACCAGCGGTCGGGGTGATGGGAATTGTAGTCCCAAAACATCTGGAGGGCCAAGTTTGGCCACGCCTGCCTTAAACAAACAGTAATATGGCAGCTCTTGAAGAAGCTTGCCATGGACACAACATTTGGTTTCTTTTTCTGCAAAAAAATAACTACAGTAAACATTTACATTAAAAATGTTGTTGGTTCTGGTTTGTTTGTTTTGTTATAGTAAGAATGATTCATGGCCAACTTCTTCTCCATCTTTGATTTCTGAATCTTTTAGTCACACACACAGCTTAAGCTTGACAGGGATGAAATCAAGGATGACACTGCCCTTTTAAGACTTGGTTATTAATTAAGACTCAAAATGATATTTGCTCAAAATAGAAAGCAAACCCTCAAGTGTCTAAAGAGAGAAACATTCTCTGTTTTCAACAGCCAAAGAGATACTCAGCAGGTATATCTCCTAGCTTAGTTTAACATGAATAATTTTCAGCAGACACAGAAATAATGTTGCATTCTGTATTATGGAATAATTGAATAATATTTTTATCCAACTATATTAGCTGGAGATAATCTAATGCTTAGTGATAAAGATGGTGTTTAAACCTTGAGTTATGTGTATAATAGTATCAAATTGAGAAAATATTTCCAAGACACAAAACATGTGCTTCCTCCCTCCAAGAATAGAATATTACATTATCATTTCCTGATAGAAGTTACTCTCTCCTCAAAACCTGCAGTTCTATATGACTTGGAAGAAAGGTAAAAAATGATAATCAGAAAAGGTGATGCAATGCTTCTAGATGCAATTATTCGAAGTTGAATGCATGGGACTATCAAGGAATGAATAGTATACATGAACAATGCACACGAATTTTAACAATCAAGTAGTTAGAAATCAATATGCAATAAGCAACATAAACATTCAGATCACTAAGCTCTTTAGGGAATTTCACAATTTATAGTTCATAAAGACTAATAAATTGACTGAAAAGATTGTAAAAGCTGTCTCTTTGGTACATTCATCCTATTCCTGTTAAGTATTATTATTGATTCATTTTGATGAAACGGAAAAATGAGTTTATGAAATTCAAGAAAATGTCTGTTGGCTTGTTGATGCTGCTATTTCAACAGTCATGGCTTGATTATGTACATTGAAATTCTCTGTGTTCAGGAAAATAGTCATTATTTCCAATTATGGCAATATGATAAGGCAACTTGCAAATTATAAAGATAAACACATGTACATTTAATGAAGTGTAAGAATGTTAAATGATGTTTGAATGCCATACACGATTGCTTTTCAAGCCAATTCACAGCTATGATTTGCCAGTTATAAAGTATGGTTATCATAGGTGATCTGTAATTTTCAAAACAGTTGTTAAGTAGTTTTTAAAACCAAGTTTAATTCTCTTCTCTGTACCTAAAACAATCTCTTTAACAAACAGAATGCATAATGTACAAGAAAAGTAATTTATTTCAAGAAAAATCACACCCCAAGCATCTTCTGTACACTGCAGATAAGGAACAGACTATATTATGTGGAATAAAGTTTATTAAGGCAGGGCTTGAACTGAAATTAATAATAAGTTTTTATTAGCATGTTGCATTATTTTATGCACTGTGGTAACTTTTCCTCGCCTGAGTGCCTGTTTTCAAAATTAAGCACTCCAGGACAAGTCTGAACACTAAAACATTTCTTTCAAAGTCAATGAGAATCCAATCTCCACTATCAGCTAAAGGACTCAATGTTTCCTTGCCAGCTACCAAAATAAAACTCCCACTTTCAGCAAAAAGAACACTAAAAACCCAGCGCTGGGTACAAAATCTGATCTTCAATATAAGCTTGAAGGCAAATAATGTTTTGCCAGTGAGGAAACCAGATCTTTGCATTTTACTTCATTGTAGAGGACACAGGAAAATTCTAGCAGCCATGAAACTGTATATCCACTTTGCTAGGAGAGGAAGAAAATACTTGCCAGACTAAACGAATCAAACAACATATTTTCTGCCAACTAAGGACCCACAATCCTTTGAGAAAACAGAGGATATAATGAAGCTATGTCAGCATTCAAATAATGTTTGCTGCCTGTAGATTTCAGCTTCCTGTACATTTGTGACCGAGTGGCAAAGTTCTGGCATGGACATGTTGATGGTTTGTAGCTGAGAGGATAATTCAGAGTAAGATAAGTCATTCTAAAATTGTATCACAAGAGAATTGCAGGTATGGCATGGGAAATAAATGAAAGAAAGACTCCTGTAAAATCAAGTATCTGTGGGAATGTTCAGGGTGGCAGGGGATATATTGTTTATTAATATCATTCCTACCTTGTGCTAGCAAGTTCCTTTATGTAGCAGAATTACATTCCTCCCCTTTTATATGCACAGCAAACAGCTGGTTGCAGGCTCGTGTGAGCCTCTCACTATTATACAATTCAGTCTGTCTCAGATTGAATTGTACGTTCCTGGTAAGTTCCCTTGAATCCCTCTTAAAAGAATACAGACGTGGCAATCTTATTCAAAGTCAATAAAAGAAGTTTACTCACATCAGTTCAGAGTTGGATTCCTGAAGGCAGGCTTAGTTACAAATATGTACATGTGGATCTACCCCATATGGGGGAATAATCCCAGTGCTTCTGCTAGCTGAGAGCTAGAAGAGCAGTCCTTGTTAGAAGCTGGTCAAACGAAGAAGGGAGTCAAAAAGAGGGAAGTGTGCTGCGTGACTCGTCCTTTTGTTACCTGGACAGGTTAGGTCACACCCACCTTCTATCACATGGAAAAGGAAGGATGCTCCAGCCAGGAGGAACAGGAAGTTTCGACTGGCTGGACCAAACATCCCCTCCCATGTCTTCTCTAGCATTACAAGGGATGTTGTACTTGACTGCCTTCCACAGTATCCACACAGAGGCAGCTGCCCTTTCCACTACTGCACGAATTATGCCTGTGTCTATGTTGGTGTGAGTGGATCCTATAAACCTGATGGAAAGAGGGGCACAATGTGTCACCCCCCAGAAGAGGCAAATACAGCAGGTCTGCATGAATCACTGCTTCAAGATTGCAACCTTGCAGGCAGCAGGAATGCCCAGACAAGTGATACACACAGAAACACAGAGACTAGGCTTCCGTGAGGAGACAACTAACAAAACAAACACAGAAACTGAAGAGGGACAGATTTTGAGACTGGATGGGTGCAGTGAGACCTATGGGGTGAGGAAGCAGATTACTAAAAACTGTGGCACAAGGAGAACTGATCTGTGGGAAAACACCAAAAGGGGAGTGACAGATATGGAAACAGTATTCTTGGTAGCAGAGAAAACAGCACGCATCAGTTGAAAGCCAAAAGGAGAAAGTGTTACCAAATAGATTCAGAAAGACCTACAGTAACACAGAGAAAGGAGGAAGGGTGCACACAAAAGAAGAAGAATGCCGGCTATCATTGTTGTGTGATTCGTGCACACAGTCCCCTTGAGTAAGTATCTCCTCAGTGATTTGGGCTGGGGTTCACCTGAAATAAAAACTGCAGCATGTTCAGCATCATCTCGATGGGCAAATTGTACTACCAATCTTACTGTATGCTTGTGAAACACAAACCACTTATAAATGCCATCTCCAACTCCTCAAAAGATTCCATCAACGGTGTCTCTGAAAATGTTTACACATCACTTGGGAAGACAGGCGAACTAGTGCCAGTGTACTGGAAGAAGCAAAGATCACCAGTGTCAAAGCAATGATTCTTCAACATCAACTTTGTTGGACTGGTCATGTTGTGTGGATGCCTGATTATCATCTTCCAAAGCAACTACTCTATTCCAAACT